CTTCACTTTACCTTGAGCTATCAATCTCTTCAAAGGACATACGTAAGCAAAGTGTCCATTTGCACCACAACAATAGCAAGTAACATTAGGATGATATGATTGACTTGCTCTTACAAAGGTAGTTTTAAAAATCTTTTGCTTTTTAGAATAATCAAATCCAATGCTCCCTTTGTCATAAATATCTTTGAGATTTTAAGATAGAATCAAATTTTTCTTTACTCAACGTAAATTTGGAAATCACATTCTGAAGATCACAAGCTTTTCTCTTTAAAACCTCATTTTCCTTTTTCAAAGCATTATTAGACTCCTCATTCTTTAAAGAAGCAATCTCACCATTTAAAGAGGCATTTTCTTTAACTAAAACCTTATTTTGTTTTGAAAGAGATTCAATCTCATTTTTAAGCAATGAAATTGTTTTAGTAAGAGCAAGATTCTCATTCCCTAGTTTCTTGATATTATTCATAGAGAAATCAAGAACTTTGAATAATTCATTATAAGAATACTTAAAAGAACTTTCATTAATTGAACTAGAGAAGTTAGAGTTTACCTCCTCATCATTGTAGTTATCTTCTTGAGCCATGAAGCAAAGATTTGCAACACCATTCTCCAAGGAGCTTTCACTTTCTGTTGAGCTAGTTTCATCATCACTCCAAGTGGCAACAAAAGCTTTCTTCTTCATGCTCTTCTTGTCTTTCCTCTCACTTTTCTTCAATTGAGAGCATTCATTTTTATAATGCCCTGTCTTGTTGCACTCATAGCATTTGATGTGCTTCTTACTTGGCTTTCCTCTATCATCATCATCATCATCACTACATTGTCTTCCTCTAGAATAGTGAATTTCCTTGTTTCTTCTAGGGGATTTCCCTTTGAGGCTCTTCTTCATGTATTTCTTCACTTCCTTTGAAACCAATTTGGTGATGTTCTCTTCATTGCTAGACTCATCATTGCTAGCATCATCTTCACTTTCTTCTTTTTGTTTGGTAGCCTTGAATGCAACATCCTTCTTCTTCTTCTCCACTACTTCAACTCCACCATCAACTTGAACTTCTGTCTCATATGTCATCAATTTTCCAATGAGATCTTCAAGCTAGAGAGTGGTGAGATCCTTAGATTCTTCAATTGCGGTCTTCTTGGCTTCCCAACTCTTAGGCAAGCTTCTAAGAACCTTTCTCACCACTTCTTGAGGAGGATAGACTTTACCAAGAGCCTTGAGATTGGTGATTATATCATTCAATCTTGTATACATATCTTGAATGCTCTCCTCCGGTTTCATCTTGAAAAGCTCATACATGTAAATGAGTTTAATGATTTTTGACTCCTTTACTTGGCTTGTTCCTTCATGTGTGACTTCTAGCATGTCCCACATCTCCTTAGCCGTATCACACCCGGAGACTCTATGATATTCCGTTGGATTGAGAGCACATTGAAGCATACTAATTGCTTTGTTGTTGATCATGATCTTCTCCAAGTCTTCATCATTCCAATCAATCTCTTCCTTTGGCACCTCTCTTTCTCCAACAATTTTCATAGGTACATATGGACCTTTCATAGTCACAACCCATGCCTTGGGCACATTTGCAAGCATGAAGACCTTCATCCTATTCTTCCAATAATTATAATTAGTACCATCAAAGAAAGGAGGCTTAGTGGTAGACAAACCTTCAAGTGGTTAAGAAGATAGAAATTGAGTCATTCCCGATCAACTCCTAGGTGGTTAAACCTTCAAATTGGAGCCCTTGCTCTGATACCAATTGTTGACTCAATGCACTCCAAGAGGAGGGGTGAATTGGAGTTGAAGAATTTTCACCTCTTTGCAACCACCAAACAAAAATTAAAGAGAGAGTTGAGAAGAAGAGCTTGCACAATGATTTTATAGAGGTTCGGTCCAACCACTTGAAGCCTAGTCTTCTACCTTAGCTTCACTCACCAAGGATTTCCTCCACACTTTCCACTAACAAAAACAATGGTGGCTTAAAGGAGCCACTCAATCCTTTGCAAGAAGAAGGGTTTCTCTCAAATCTCACCCCTTTACACTTAAACCCCAAAGATCCTCTCTACAGATCACTCTTGAAGGAATCAACACACCCCCAAGATCGCTCACTAATAACACAAGAAGAGGATTACAAACAAAGATCTCTCAAAGATAAAAAACTCAAGTTAAAGCTCATATAGGTAGGTAAAGATATTCAATACAATACTTTCTAAACTTCTTCAGATCTGTTACCAACCATATTTATAGCCCCTTGCTCGAAAATAGTCGTTTCTAGCCGTTGGGGGTCATTAAATGCCCTACAGGACACAAAGCTCGAGTTGTAGGATTGTTAGAAAAAGCCAGCTTAACTTCCTAGAGCCGGCTCTGTATAGCTGGCTCACCATTTCTATAGCCGGCTTTGCGGGATTCCTGCAGATTCTGTTTTCCTCGAGAGCCGGCTGCAAAACGTTGAGCCGACTTTGGAACTCCGACTTTAAATATATTAAATAATCTTCAAATAACTTGACCATTGTGCATTAAATGCACCCTCACAGCCGATTGCAAGGTTGGAGCCGGCTCTACTTCCATTTTTCACGCGCACCAAAACAGCAGTTGAATTTCTAGCCCGTAGAGCCGGCTCAACAAAATCTGCAGCCAGCTCTCTGCACTTTTGCTTCCCAGAGCCGGCTGCAATTTTCTTAAACCGGCTCTCTACACATTTTTGCCTTTTGAGCCTTTTTTAATGCAATCTCATTTTGCTTACTTTGCAGTATATTGGTAATTTAACTACACACTTAATAGATCAATTAGTCACTCAAATGTGTTTTGTAATCATCAAAATTATAGATACAACATACATATTATTATTCAATTTTTTTTCCCTCTATTCGATTCAAGAAAGGGTCTTGATTTTTTTTTTTTTTTGGTAATAAAGTATCTTGATTATTTTGGAGAAAATACAAAGCAAAACAAAGGCCTCACACGTCAGCCTTTTCCCCTCGCAAAATTGGGAAAAAACTCTACATAGTAATTAACGAACAGCTATAGATTTTCTTCTTAAATGGGTTGTCGTGATAAATATAAGTAATTTCTATTTTATTGGATGGATTGTTGTGATAAATTCATATAGTCTTGAAAATGGATTAGGGTATTCCTTATACCTCTTAAAAATAATATTTATTTTTTGTTAATAAAAAACAATTATTATTTAAAAAAATTTTAAATAAAAATTTGTCAATTATTAAGAAATAGAGAAAATATAAAATAACACTTTTGGATCACTAGAAGATTTTTAATCCTAGAACAACCATAACACCGGGAATTTCTTCACCTAAATCAATTTTTTTTTTATAGGTAATGATATTCAAAGAACCTTTTTATACTAAATTTTTTATATAATTTTTACATGTGACAATTTCTATTAAAGTGAGAAGAGTAAATCATTAAATGATATTTAAGATTATATATAGATATGGAAAAAGCATCCATTCACCTAACCTACTAAATTTTAGAAGAAAAATTACTACAAAATTACGTCGTTTCAATCAATTCTTATTAAAAAAAACTAAAATATCATATTTTTAAAGCATAAATTAAATTGTTTTTTGTTTTTTTTTTTTTTACTTTGTTGAAATTATGTAATTTTAAAATAATTTTCCTCTTAACTTTTAAGAAATAAGGTGCAACTAGTGCTAAATTATATACACATACAAAAAGGTGGGTATCAGGTTGTATTGCATAACATAAGGTAAAAAAATATCTCAAAACTATAATGTTTTAATAAAATCTTATTGAAAAAGATAAAAATATCCTAATTTTTAAAGCTAGAATGAAGTTGTTTTAGTTTTTTCTCATGTTATTTTATTAAAACTACATAGTTTTGGAGCATTTTTCTATCTAATTTTTTACAATACAAGTTGATACCCATTATATATATAAATGCTTTTTCTAACCTGTGCTTTAAGTATAGATTAAGGGCATATTTTTTTACATTAATTAGTATTGAAAATGTAAAAATTAACATGTATTTAACCAACTATCCAATTAAAATAAATCACATGAAATTGGTAATGAAATTACAAAAATGATATACTTATACTTATGATGCCACGTGAGATTTTAAGTTTGTCGTTATATAATTTGTTAGTTTCCCTTAAAGGTTCATCCGTGATATTATATACTCTCACTTATCTGATGATAAATCAAAACTGTAAGTTTACAATCATACATAACATTGTAATTATAGTATTACAGATGAAATTAATGTTGATTTTTGTCATTTTCAATACTAACTAATATTAAAAAAAATATATTAATTACACCTATGTAATGATTTGGAGACAATATTTTGTACAATTGTTTTATACAACTTTCATATATTATATATAACTACTTATTAAATAAGTAGTTATATATAATATATCATGGGTCTTAGTCATTGTTTTGAAAACCTAACCAAACCGGTTGGTTGGATCAATACTCAATGCTATAAATGGTTCGGGTGAGTATTTAGAATCAATGAAATAATTGAACCGTTCAAAATCGACAGAATCATTTGAACCGATACAAATCGTTAAACCATTCAACCAACTAGTTTAAAGTTATTGAAAAATTTTCTTTGATTTGCCACTTTTGAATGTAAGACCTAATAGAGATATTCCCAGCCTTCTGCCACTAGGACATCACCTCCACTTTGATATATTTAGCTCAAAATTTTATTTATTTTATTTTTAGTCAGTTGAATTTCCTTCGGTCGATGTAAAAACAATATCATTGATTTTCATGTTAAAATTAATATAATATTTATCTAATTTTTATTTTAAATATATAAATTAAAAGTGTAATGAATATAATTTTTTATAAATAATATATATAAAAAATTATAAAAATTAATATTTATTTTAATA